ATATATATATATATATATATATATATATATATATATCGATGAGCTGAAGTAATCGTAAGATTAATAAGAATAAAACACATAATTATTTATTATTATTTGAGTTAGAAAGCAAGCGTAGATAAAGTTTTTATAGAAATTTTGAACATAGATTGAATATAATTTAAAATATAGATGTCTATTCTTTTCTATTCATTTCAATTCTAATTAATTAATTATTAGCAGAAATTGTTTGTAATTTTTTTCTAAGAAATATCGTAATAAATAATAAATAATAAATATCAGAATCAGACATTTTTCTGCTGGAATTAATTTATCATTGTTGACGTTGATTTTTAGAGAAAATGCCGAGAGAAGACGTTGCTGCTCGCTATCAGAATTTGAATTTCAGTCATTGTTAATACAATGTACCACGAACTGCTTCGGCATACTCGTGACTCGAAGCACAGACATAACAAATCACCGAGTTAACCGAGCTGCCATCACTACGCAAACTCTAAAGTTCCTCAGAGAACATAATCGTAGTTTTTGAAGCGGCTCTGCTCCGCTTCGAATCGGTGCTCGAGACCTTCAGCAGCCCAGTTACGGTTTCGTGGTTCTCGCTTACTTTATCACTCGCTTAACTGGTAGTGAGTACGGCAGGAGCCGCGACAAGATGACTTTAATAAATAAGGTATTTATGAAAATATAAATCTAACCTAAACCTATATTCCAATAGCTACCCTTGTATTATAATGCTAATGCGCTCGCTATTTACAGATGGAGATCGATGAAAAGAATATGAAGGGCGAGGGATTCAAGCCATATTATATACAAAAAATCGAAGAGCTGCAGCTTATTGTGGCGGAGAAAAGTCAAAATCTTCGCCGATTACAAGCGCAGCGTAATGAACTTAATGCGAAAGGTATATCTTTATATTTAACGTATGATTCATAACGGAATTGCTACATTAAATAACGTAGCTATGTTGATGGTATCAACAATGCCGTTAACGTACATTTTTGTATACTTAATAATTGATTTTCAATATTGCACTGTAGTACGTATGCTACGCGAAGAGCTGCAACTTCTCCAAGAGCAGGGATCTTATGTTGGAGAAGTTGTGAAACCAATGGACAAAAAAAAAGTTTTGGTGAAAGTTCATCCGGAAGGAAAATTTGTTGTCGATTTAGATAAAAATATCGATATCAATGATGTAACACCAAATTCTCGAGTCGCTTTAAGAAATGAAAGCTACACGTTGCATAAGATCCTTCCAAACAAAGTTGATCCACTTGTGTCGCTCATGATGGTTGAAAAGGTACCGGACTCAACTTATGAAATGGTCGGCGGTCTTGATAAGCAAATTAAAGAAATTAAAGAAGTCATCGAACTACCAGTTAAACATCCAGAACTCTTTGATGCTCTTGGTATTGCTCAACCTAAAGGAGTACTTTTGTATGGTCCACCAGGGACAGGTAAAACTTTATTAGCTAGAGCGGTAGCTCATCATACCGAATGTACATTTATTCGAGTATCTGGTTCTGAGCTCGTACAAAAGTTTATTGGAGAGGGTTCTCGAATGGTTCGGGAACTTTTTGTTATGGCAAGAGAACATGCGCCATCTATCATTTTTATGGATGAAATCGATTCTATTGGTAGTTCACGTATTGAATCAGGATCAGGTGGTGACAGTGAGGTATTTATCCATTTAATTACAATACTTAGCGTCGTCAAATACATTATAATATAAAACATAATAAAACCCCATTGAAAATTGAATTTTTCAAATAAAACATTCTACCCTTCTTGTTACGCTATTTTAAAACAGTATTGAAAAAACTAATACGATTTACAATTTACTGTTTTACAAATTATAATACATAATTATATTTACAGTAATTTAATTTAAATTTCTAATCAATTTTATACTTGATATACAAGTTAGAATTTTGTTACATTGATTAACATAAAATTCTAAATATTGTAAAAATGTTATATAAAATATTTTTATTTGTATAAAGATTTTATTAAATCAATTTTAAGCCTAACATAATTATTATAATCTACTCTCTGTACATGATGTATAATTTGATCCTTTTATCATAAATTAATTTAAATTTTCAATATTCCATATTACCATATATCAACAAAATAAATTTTATACTAATTGTTTTGTAATAAAATATTTATTACAATTATTTTTGTAATTTATTATGCACATACACATTTTATTTTATTTTTTAATAACTCATGTATCATTTTACTTTCTTTCTAAAATTATTACATTACTTCAATAACAATTTCAATTAATCAATTTATTAATATCACAAATATCAATTAAATGAATAATTATTTTTTTTATATTTATGATAGAGTATTTTTATTTTTATAATATAAATTTATTAAAGATATTTATAAAAAATGCCATATAACACTTTTGCACAGAACTATAAGACATGTAATAATACATTATTGAAATATTGAAAATGTATTTATTTTATGTCAGGTTCAACGTACAATGTTGGAACTGTTAAATCAATTAGATGGATTTGAAGCAACTAAGAATATTAAAGTTATAATGGCAACAAATCGAATTGATGTCTTAGACCCTGCACTTTTACGCCCTGGTCGTATTGATCGTAAAATTGAATTTCCACCTCCAAACGAGGAAGCTCGTCTTGACATTTTGAAAATTCACTCAAGAAAAATGAATTTAACACGTGGTATCAATTTAAGAAAAATAGCTGAATTAATGCCTGGCGCTTCAGGAGCTGAAGTGAAGGTACGGTGTAATCAAACTTATGAATTTTGAATATTAATAATAATTGCAATAAATCTATCATTATAGGGCGTATGCACAGAAGCTGGTATGTACGCTTTACGAGAACGCAGAGTTCATGTGACACAAGAAGACTTTGAAATGGCTGTAGCAAAGGTAATGCAAAAAGATTCCGAAAAGAACATGTCAATCAAGAAATTATGGAAATAATTAACTCAAAATTCATATTATTTTATAAGCTGTAAATTAATTTAATTATTATGAACATTTTATAAATTCATGCAAAATGTATAACAAATAAAATACTTAGATCACATTTTGATCAAGCTTTAAAAATATAATGAATATTTTATTATATTGACCAAATACAATAATTAAAATTATATGTATAGAAATAAAAGTGTAATATAGTATTATTATTTTATATCATTTGTCAATTAATTAATTAATTAAAAAAAATTTCTAATATTTCGTAGTGTATATAAATGATATAAAAAGGCTTTATTCATATATTGCGAAAAATAGGTTTTTATCAACAATGAAATCCATATTCTAATAATTTTTAGAATAATTATTACAATGATTTTTCAACAATATTGATTTAAGTGATTAGACAATGTGATTTTAGCTCCTTTATGCGCGCAAAGATTAGCACGCATCCACACTCTCGTGCACATGCGCATAAATTCTTGTTTACGCATACACACACGCATGCACACATATATATATATATATATATAAATATATCAAAAAGTTACAGCTATGTTTTAACGTTGTGAATAACTGGCATTCTTTTTAATTACACTATCAAAAAATTTTAATTAGAGTAGGACAATTTTGGAAGACGAAGGTGTTCAAATTAGTAATATAATATCTATTTAAATCAGATTTCTACAATTCATTAAAAATAAGTTTTTCCACTTTTTAAACGTAAGTTGTTTTTAAAGTTTGCGTCTTTTCTTGATAAGATACGATTTAGCGTTAACATTATTAAGATAAAGTTATTATAAAGATAAATATCTGTTTAGCTTTATTTAAATAAACGATCGTTTTTGTTTGATGTAAGTTCAAATCGTAGATATTGTATTAAATCATAATTTATAAATGCATTACGAATAAGATAATAATTGTTCAAAAACCCACAAAACAGTGTATTACAAACAAGTCGTTTATTGAACTGAAACGAAGGTTTCATAAACATTCATTTAAAAATTCATTATAAAACAATACTATTGACTAATATAAACTTATAGTAGATATAGTAACATTTTAATAATACAGTGTTAATATTTTATTATAAAAAAACTTGGAAATCGTCATGATTTTAATTTTTGTATTATTTGGTTGTATTAATTGAAATTGTAACAATTTTCATTATAGTTATTGTGAAGCAATTATTGTCTTATATATGTGATAATTGAAATTCTAAATTCACAAATAAATATTTATAAAATAAAAAATGTTTACATGTGTATATGCAATACAAATGTGAATATACATTTTTCAAAACTAAAACGAAAATTCAATAATATTTCCATCACGCCATTATATTTATTAATGATATTCTATTTAATTAAACCGATTGATCAAACTCAGCCCCATAAGCTTTCTGAGTCCTCTAGCTCTAATATTCTCAATTCTGCAATTTATAATACGCGCCAAAAGGCAATAAAAGGAAGTTGATCGTCTTATCCATTGGTGATTCAATGCAGGACCATAGACTATAGTAGCGCGGCATCACTTCGCACTGCTCCCGGTGATCAGTAAATTTCAACAGTTCCTTTGAGATAGATCGTACACAATGTTTTTGAATCCAGCGTTTTTTAAGGTTATTTTATAACATTTCTAATATAATAATTCCTGTTTTAATTGTACATAGATAAATGAAAATGGCAGATGATAAATTAATAATGGAAGTGGATAATCAAAGTGAAGATGGAGAAATCAAAAGAAGCCCAGGAAAAGACTAGTAAGTAACATATTCATTTATTTCTAGGTTATAAAGCCATTTTATTTATTTTTCAATAATTCGTTTATTTTATATGAAAATGATTGCATTTTACAATTATATATATAAAATTCAATTTAGAAGATAATTATTTAAATGCAAATAGTTCATTTTTATGTTAAGCTTGAGTTAATGTGCTTTAGTTACCATAGTTATGTATTTGCCTTAAAAGATTTATTAGTTTTTCATTGTTGCACAAATTAAAAAATTTTTATTTGAAACCATGTATTATTCAATTAATTATTAATTTACAAATTAACGATACCTTGGACTAATAAAAAAAAGTTACTCAAAGTCAGAAATTTATTTTATTTTGAAAATAATATGTAAATTTTGAAATACATAATATGTACTATTATTTTATAAACAATTATTTTGCAAAGAAAATTTATAATTAATGACTTAATGATATTTCTTTAAATGTACATGTTAAAAGGTTATTTTAATTTTTAGTTATTCAATCAAACCAAATTAATGAATGAAATTATTAAGTTAAATAATTATTCGTATTATTTTTAAACTTATTTTTAATACTATACCAATTGGTTATTCAATTATTAAACGATATATCAATGAATTCATTAGACTGAAATCTATTTAAAATTAAGTAAATGTGCATATACTTTGATTTAAGTTTATGAAGTTAGATGAATTATATATTATATATTTCTTATATTAAAGCTTTTAGTATACGACAATTTAGTGGGCAATTAGTTCTATTAAATAGATAGATTAGAGATTGTAATTTGTATTAAATAAAATTGTGTTATCCCTACGATAAGTAAGTCTTTAATTTAAAAATATTTAATGATAACAAGCAATAATTACATGATAATTAAAAAACTCGATATATCGCAGATTAAATTTATATGTTTCTATATAAAGTATATAAAATAATAAAAAATTCATTATTAATATCATGGTATATATTATCCTGAAAAATATAAATATTTTATTATGCAAAATTAGTTTCTAATAACTATGACAAATCAATAATTTAAAATGATTTTCTGACATTTCCTGTAAATATGTTTAAAAGTGTGCGTGTGTGTGTGCGCGCGCGCGCGCGTGTGTGTTTATATATGCTTTATTATTAAGTTAATTTCAAGCATCCATATATTTGCCTTTATTTGGTTAGTCTATTAAGTTTGAAAGTATATTTTTAATCTTTGTTTAATCAAATTTTTTCTTAAATGTTTACACATTCATTTGTAACATATAAAATAAATAAATGCATGAAAAATGTTAAAATATATAAATAACTAAAAAATGTGTTTAAGTGTTATTTTAATTGATGAATAGTTGAATATTATGTTTAGAGAATAATATTAGCCGGATTATAAGTGTGCAATTACTAAATAAGTAATTCATGTTGATAAACTAGATATCTGCTCATTGAATCAAAGTACTCTCACTTTATAAATATACTGCATGTACTTACCGGTAAAGTTGTGTGCATATATATGAACATTTATCATCGCATTCTGAACATTAGTCGCTTCAGGTTCTGCGTCAGTTATAACTGCAAAACTCACATCATTCCATCACATCGCTGGTAGAATGTTAAAAAATGCCAGTTACTCAAAAGTCCGCACCAAGGTATTTTAAAAGAAGCTAGAGTTTACTAGCAATGACGAACAAATATTTATATTTCCGTATGAAAGTGAGAATATTAAATATTAGGTTATGTTGCCGGGGTGAAAAAGCAGTCTCCCTATTCTTAATTAAGCCATTAACATAAAAATTATAAGACTAACAAAACCTATTTAATGCACCTAATTTGGTGTCCTGGTGTGCTGACCTTTTGTAATTATTATTTAACATTACTGGTGTTTGGACCGCGAAAATTTATCACCTCGTTAAACAAGAACGCAATTCTATTCTTACCGATTCACTACGATTTGGAATTATTCTTAATTTTGTGTTTGTGTGTGTGTTCTCTGGTGAAGTTTCTCAGAGGAAGAAGGCGCAGACACGGCGGACTCCTTGGATATAAAGCCGCCGCAGGCGGTGGTGCGGCATCGTAAGGCCACCTCCCACCGAAGGGACAAACGCTCTGACCGGGGTGGCGAGCGTAGGGAGGACAAAGAACGCAAGTCCAGGCATCATGAGCGAAGCGAGGATAATAGGCACAGGGACAAGCACAGCAGACATCGTCGACACGAAATGGACTTGTCAGAGAAATCTAGGCGCTCCGAACCAATCAAAAGGGAAA